AATCCCAACATAACCACAGATTGCCCTCTGTCCTCTGTCCAATAAATTTCTAACTTTAGGTTTTTACTGTCTAATAGAAATCCTTTATTGTCTTCACGGGGAGAGAGCAAGCCTATTTTCTTGTACATTTGCCTGCGTGACTTTCTGTGTTCCAGTTGCAAGGGCATTGATGATAATGTTATAATTCATATCTGCACAAGGAAAGTTAAGGAATACATTTTCTCTAGAAACAATCTTGAAAAAACTTAAAAGAGAATTTTACTACATAGAAAGGAAAGAAACAAATAAAAATTGAAGTCTTAAATACATCTATAGGTACTAAAAATATGCTGGAGCCTAAGAGAACTACTCTTCCACTGAAAAAGCAAATAACAATAAATGGTATTTGTATTAAATTGATTTTGAATATTATAGTCATGCATAAGTGTATATCAAGCCTAGAAGTTTAAAGCTTGACTTATATTCTCATTTTAGAATGAAAGTTTAAGTTTTCAATCACCAAAATTCTTAGCAAATGTAAGATTTTTTTTAAGTTAGCTACAAAAATATTGCATTTATCTTTATATTAAAATATTGGAAACAGTCCATAGTCATGTTCAAGTCTTACTGAAAGTGAAACCATTTTGTTTTATATAATATAGTTGATAATAAAGCACCAATGGAAAATTTTTCTGCCTTAAAAATAGGATAAGAGGAGCAGATAGCTAATAATGCAACTGTTTTATATTCTAATTTTTAAAAAATTTCTAGTTGTTGATAGACCTTTATTTTATTTATTTATATGCGGTGCTGAGAACTGAACCCAGTTTCTCACACATGCCAGGCAAGTGTGCTATCACTGAGCCCCAGCCCCTATATATTTTAATTTTATATGGGTGGTAGCTCCTTTAACTTTCTGATTTAAATTCTAAAATGCATTTATTTAAGAGGAACTAACCTCTCTGTTGCATATAAAATCAAATTTTGGTTTCTACTCTATAGCTGAGGTAGACGAATTACCACTTTGGCAACCCATGATATCATTTCACCTCAGGTAGAAGGCTTCTAAAGCTTTTTATTCTCTACATTCAGTGCTCTCCCACCCCTCTCCCTTTTCTTATTTTTGTAATTATTTTAGAGATTTGGGGAGGCAGAGTATCTTATGTATACACAGTATTTCCTATTCTTTTTTAAAAACCTGAATCTGTGGTTTTTCAGCTCCCGATGTGGTATCTAGAAAAATTAATACAAGTTAAATCAGTACTCTGCTCCATTGACTGTTAGAATGTCTTTCTTATTCTCTGTCCTAGATAAAATATCTCACATTCCAGACATGAGGATAGAAACACAGAAAAGCAAAAACTGTGTTCAGCAATGAAAAAGAGATTTGCCACACGGCAGGGATTTCCCCATTGACCAATTAAAATAAGAAACCCTATCTTCTCTCCTTTAACTGGAGGAGAGTCACAACAAAGGACTGCTTGAGTAGAACATAAAATAGAGAACTGATGAGCATCTTCAAGGCTTCTCAGGGACATTAAACATCCCTAACAAAGACCAGACAGAAGAAACAAACTGGCATGCTGTATGTTCTTTTGGAATATTTGGGTATCTTAGGGAAGAACTAGTAATTTTGTCCTCCGAGATAACAGTAAAAAACTATGCATTCAACAAATTTCAAACCCACTTCAGAAAAGCATGAACTATGCATGACCCATTAAAGCAGACATTTTTCCTCTTTTACATATATCACATGACCTCAACTTTAAAAAAATGAATATAAAAGTAATATTCACCACTAAAAATAAATACAGATTATATTTTGACTCATGGTTTAGTGTTGTCAAAGCTCATTATATCTCAGTCCAACTCTTCTATTTGCTATGGATTTATGGGATTTGTTTTTCTAAAGTAATTTTTTTATTTGTACATTAAGTATTAAAAAACAAAAAAAGAATATTAAAGAAAACCAACACATATGAGTAATGTCCTGCAGTAAAATGCTTCTTTTGGCTCTAAGAATTCAAATGTTAATGAAGTAGACAAGCTGCACTTTCAAGAACATGAAGCAATAGACATGAGAGACAAAGAAGGTAAAAATATTTAATGAGTGAGGTGTCAACATCAAGTATAAATCCCCACTACCAAAACTAAAGACTATTCACTGCAGGTGTCTCTGAGTCCATATCTTAAATAAACACAATTACCCCACCTTAAGACCAGCCAAAGAGCAAACTAAATGATTCTCTGTGGATGTTTCATCTCTTTGAAAATGGCTTCCTTGAATGGACTAATAGTGAACTTGACCTAGTTAAAAAGTATGCTCACAAAAATTATCTGTCTTTGCCTGATAAAAGAGAAGGTTTATTGATAATGTGGACTGTAAGGATTAAGTGAGTAACTATAAACACGACCCAGAGCCCCTAGCATCTAAGGTTATAATATAGTTAGATAACTTTATTCATGGGTTACATATATTTCATTTCTTTTTCCAATATAAGCAACCAATATAGGCAGAAAAATAGAATTAGTAAAATCTGCATAAAGGAAAGCTAAATTATAAACCATTCTTTTACTAATTCTATGACTCATCCTTGACAAAATTAAGCCCATCCTCCCACCAATGGGACTTAATATAACATATATATTTCTTGGGCATTTGCATTTTAAAAGAAAAATTAAGATTAATACAAAGTAATAAGCTACTAGTCATAAAACTCTCTCCCATGTTCTACAGAACACAGTGAAAAGAAATTGCTCCTCCTAAGAAACTGAAGCCATTTCTCTCTGTTGATACTGCAAGTAAGTTGCATGGAATAGCAGGAAACAGCCAAAGTTACAGACCACCTTTTTAATTAATTTTTTCAGATCCTAAGCTTATATTTTTCCCACTCTTAACCTGTGATAATTTATATTTTCTCTAATCCTGAGTTTTTATAAGCTGATTTGCTCACTGGGAAATTAGACTATGTCATCCAAGAATTCGTCTTCCCCACCCAATCTCACCTGCCCTCCAACTGTTTGGAAGTTTCCTCTTTTCAGCTGTCTTCCTTCCAAATTTAAGCCTTTATAAGTGAAATTTAGTTTTATTTGTACTCTAATTATTTAAAAATCAAAAAAAAAGAATATTAATGAAAAACCAATCCATGTGAAGAAGTATCCTGCCCTAGTTCTTTGTGCAACATAGCTCTCTTCTACCTGAATAAAAATTAATTCAGAGTGACACTAATGAAATTGTGAAATAAAATTTTCCCTCTGACCTTCCTGGAGTCCTTGTGGTCACGCTCCCAGGACCTCCAACACAGAGGCCTTGTTCCTCTACCCAGCTGCTGCCCCTCCTTAGCTCCATGTCCTCTGTAGAGCTAAACTTCATTCCTGTTCCAAAACAGGTTTGGAATTTCTCACTTCAGTAACAAAATAGCTTTGTTGCAAAGCTTGAAGTGGGTTTATCTAGTTCATGTTGGTCTCTTACTATAACCTTAACATTGAACCAAGCCAATTTTTCTCTACAAATGCAGATGAGTAGTGCTTTCTAATTCACTCACTCAGGGTTTGCACCCTACCTCAATCACTTAAGCGCACACACACACACACATACACACACACACGATTATTATTACTACTGTAATATATTCATATTTCCCAAAGAACCATCTATTGAATTTGCATTATCTGTATTCATTTTAAATATTTCTGGGAAAGCATTCCTAGAGAACATTTTTATTTTCACTTGTTGTCAAAAAGGAAATGAAGTATTTTTTTTCTTTTATATCTATTATAGAGCATTAGCTGATATAAATATTCCTTGTAGAGTTTCCACACTTCTAATTAAATTTCAAACAGGCTTCACTTTTTAGAAAGCACACCTATTAATGCCCTGAGTCTAAACCAAACCAGATGAACTGCTGCCTCATAATGCAAGCTGAGCACCACTCAAATGCCTTCTCAGTTTCCCAGCAGGTTTCATTCTGTAGTAGCTGCTGCTGTTCCAATGCAGAAGATCTTCATTTTGTTCTTTGTATCATTTAAAGAAATAATTAGTGTGTTTAGATACTTTTCTGCATGTTCTTAATTTTCTCATTACCTTTTAACTCTTGCTGATATTCAACATTCATTCCTCTTTGTTTTTAGAAAGTATTTCTTTTAAAACTTGTTAACATAGGGCATAAAGAGTTCTATTTGTTTCATTTTTGTGTTAAATTGAATAAAAATTCCTGTAAACTTCTATTTGGGGGAATAAACTACTCCCATCTACCTCTAGATGTGTTCAAATGGATTTAATGAATCATATTCCCTTACATAAGGTTTTAGGAAGTAATCATTAATCATCATTACTTAGGAGGCGATAATTATGGAGACAATTGTGGCAATAAATCACCTCAAATAATCTCACAAATGAAAGGGTTTTCTGGGTTAATGTTGTAAAAACTTTGCTGTCCTAAATTGTTTCCTTATTCTACATTACTGAGATATGTTGTTTTAACATATTTCAGTAAAAGTAGAGATGTCATTTCACATTTGCTCAACTCATTGACATAATAACCAGATGAGAAGGTAAGAGAACCACAACACATGTCATTTTCTCCAATATTCCAAAGAAATTGTTCATATAGATGAAAATTCACTGACTTGATTATGCACTCTAATTGCAAATATTTTGAAAACTCCTCCAAACAAAAGGAATCGTAACAGACTCAAGAAGATTTTTTTTAATATTATGAAATTTGGTCTGGACTTCTAACGCAGTGTTTTATAAAGATACAAACTAGGAAACAACAACAGTATCTATGAAAAAATATCTATTTTGGTGGAAAATTTTTAGTTCTACTCAATAAAGTTGTCATTTTTAAGACAAGCTATAGTTACTTATCAACTGCTACTTTATAAAGTAACTGTGCCACTGCATAAAAATGCCTTTTCCCTTCACAAATAAACCTTATCAACAATTTAAGGTTAATTGCTATTTTATTTGAGATTTTTTAAGGTTAATTTCAATTTAGAGCTAATTTTTTTAAAAAAAATTATTACTCAAAGGTGATTTATTATAATAAGTAGGCAATATAATCAAAATCATGACACCAAATTATCTGAGTAGACTATCAGCTGAACTAAGGATCTAGATTGGAGATAGGGAGGAACAACTTGTCTTTCTAACTGAAAACATGGTGAGATAACAAAACAAACTCCAAAGCACACCCCAAATGAAATTTTATGACCAAAAGAAGCTATTTCCACATATAAAAGTGCGTCTGGACTAAGGTGAATGTCTAGTACCATCTATGAAGCACCCATATTTGGACTAGGAGAAAAGTTGGCATATTCTCCTGGCAAATATTTTAGAGTCTATCATTAAGTTACTAAATATGTAGAAAGCTTTTAGCAAAATAGCTAAACTTCTGGTTGGTGACTTTAAGACTTGGGGGGGAAAAAATAAGTTCATTGCTGCAAATGAAAAGAATTAATTTTTCTTTCTCTCCGAGAAAAGTTTTAATTAAGCATCCCGCACAGGACTACCTCCTGCTCTTTTGTGTTAACTGTTTTTCAAATTTCACTCAATGATCTTGGAAACCTCTAGGGTCTTAAATCATTAGGAATTATGAGAGAGTCACATTGATATGCTATTAAAGCAAAGATAACTCACATTTGTAGCACTAGTTATAAATAATAATAGGACGTTAAAGGGGTTTTTTTATTCGAAGAAAAATTGCCTGGAAAGCGTCTTTCTATCGGGTTAACCTTCTAGAACTTCTCAGATAAACCAATTTCCTCAAAATCAAAGCCAATATATGAGTCTGTTTATAAAATTCACCAATTCAAAATGCAACCATTTGTCCTCTTCACTTGTTCGCCTTTGTGTTTTAGCTGAATTTGTGCAGCATATCTTCATTTCAGCTGTAAAATCTCCTGTGCAGCAAGGGCTTGGCAGCCCCAGGGAAGGCAGGGAACACTGTTGAATTCAGTGCAGTGAATCTGGTAACACAAGAGCATGAATAATATTTAGAGATCTAGCACACCTTAGTGGAAACAATGATAACTACAACTGCTCTGAAAACATTTGAATTTTAAATTCCATTGTCTTAGTGAAATTTAATTTTACCTAAATAGAAGGACTTTGCTTAGTCTTTTTCTCCCCTTAACTGTACGTGTTTTTTCCCCAAAACTCCCCACAGGAGATAAATAAGAAGATAAATTTGGTCATAAGTTTCTAAAAAGTAGAAATCACAATTTCTTTTCAGAATATGCATCAGATGATAATATGACCCCCTGAAGCTATCAAATTAGATTCATTTCTGTTTTATATGCCATCATGGTAAAATATAACTGTCAGATTTTTCTCATTAAATGATTGTTGTACGTTTAACCTACAAAACATGTTGGTTCAGGTCTCGGAAGGCTTCAGGGATTTTTGGTTTCAAACAGGTTTATGTATTTTGTTGGTCGTGTCTGACCTCCTATATGTTGTACTCGCCCAGAAAGAGAATGGAAAGGATGTCACAAATACCCATGCTACTCTCTGTACCATTTCTAACACCTTCGGTTTTATCTCCTGTTCCATTATTCCCCTTCATGGAGCTGAGATAGATGAAGAGTTAGGGTTTGGATGGTTTTGTTTTCTCCAAAATTCATGTAGAAACTTAATCCCCAAGAAGGGATGGTGGCACACACCTATAATCTCAGTGACTCAGGAGACTCCAGGTCAAGAAATAAATTTCTGTTCTATGTAAAGTTTCCAATTTGCAGTTTTTTGTTATAGCAACACAAAATACTCCAAGACAAAGTATCTAAAATAATGTAAAATATTCATTCCAGTATCTGAAGAAAATCACCCGTGCTCAGGTATATCTCAGTATTATAGATATATTTCTAGAAATCAGAATATAAATGGTACAAAAGTTATGGTGGTTTAATTTACAAGCTTGTCACTTTATGATTCCAAAGAATATGCATTCTGTCAGACCTGTGCTTCAAATCTGACTGTTGATCTTATCCCATGCTGTCAATATTTAGTACTATACTCCCTCATGATGCTGGGCAGCAGCAGAGAGCCGCAGTTCCCAGTAAGCCATGTGCTCATGAGAGTAAACAACCAATACCCTGCAGAATACTGTGTTGCTAAGATTGATGTTAAAATAAGTGGGATGTATTACTATATCTTTAACTTGTAGTGGGTTTACTCATGATGTAATCCCATCTGAAGATGAGGAGCATCTGTATACTATTGATGGAGCCAGAGGTAAAAGATGCTTATTTTTTATCTGGCATCTCAACCACTTGACACATGATTGAAAACTAAAAAGGAAGTGAATTGTAATTATTTCAGATAGGAAACTACCAAAATAAGAAGCTCAGCAAATACTCTCCCAGAAAAAAAAATGTAGAAAAAAATTGCCAAAAATAATGATTTCAGAACTCCAGAAATTGTCCAAAGGAACTCAATAAATTGAGAGGAAATTATTTAAAAAAAAAAAAAAAACCTTCAAGAAGAACAGTGAGATCTGCAGTATTTTTATCTGTGGTTGCTTCCTCCCCCACCCCACCCCCCGTCCCTCAGCTTTATTGGCATGGTAGTTGTGAGGACAGCAAACTGTGAGAAACAGCAGCTTTGCTGTTGGAGTAGATTCACGTTTGGAGTGGAGCATTGAACAACTCTCTGACCAGGGGGACATTGCCCCAAACAGACACAAACCTGTGACAAAGAAAAAGGAAAGGCCAATGACACAGTTACACTAAGATGGCATTCCTGGTCCAAGGAAGTGACAAAATATCAGACTAGTTAGAAAATTAACAAGATTAGTAAATGAGATGGCTTTAATGGGACTTGATACGCTCCCTCAAGTCTAGAAATTTGGTAGGCTATACAGATATGCACATGTGCAGGAGAAACTAGAAAGGGCTGTGGCCACTGATTCATCCTTATACATGCACAGAAGAGATGTGAAGGCCTGAAAGAAATCTAAAGCTGACAGACTTGTAAACTGCTTGGATTTTGAATATTCAGACACATAGATCAATACAAAGAGGGTGAGAGTCTTACTGGCCCAAGATATTTGAGTACAATTATTTATGGAGCTCTAAGCTATGGTGTCATAGAGGTGATCCCTAGGAGAATATCTTTAAGAACATAGACAATGTTTTTTAAAAATAGCAGAAATATCAGATGATGAACACTTTGCAAAAGAATACATTCCATGAATTTAGTCCAAGCAAGTTACTAAACATTCATCTACAAACACATACAACACACACACACCACCACCAACAACAACAACAACAACATCAACACCAACAATGTGCAAAAACAAAAAGAAGAATCCAGAGTTTTTTCAATATATTATCTGAAGTGTCTAGTTATAGAAAAAAAAAAGCCCAAAATTCATACAGAAGAATCAAAGACCCAAAATAGCTGTTTCAATCAGCTTTTTCACTGCTGTGACCAAATTACCTGAAAAGAAAAATTTTAAGGAGGAAAAGTTTATTTGGGGGCTCACAGTTTCAGAGGTCTCAGTCCACAGACAGCCAACTCCATTTTTCCAGGATCAAGGTGAGACTGAACATCGTGGCAGAAGAGTGTGGTGGAGTAAAGCAGCTCAAGGTCAAGAAGCAAGAGAGAAAAACTCGACTTGCCAGATACAATATAGACAATATATACCTCAAAGGGTATATATTCCCACCTCCTGCAGCCACACTCTACCTACCTACAGTTACCACCCAGTTAATCCCTACCAGGGGATTAATGCACTGATCAGGTTAAGTCTTTCATAACCCAATCATTTCACCTCTAAATCTTCTTGCATTTTTTCTTATGAGCTTTGAGGGACACCTCATACCTAAACCATAACAATAACTAAAGCAATTCTAAGCCAAAAAAAAGCAATGTTAGGGATATTATGCTACCTAATTTTAAATTATACTAGAGCTAAAGTAACAAAAGGAGTATGGTATTGGCAAAACAGACCCACAGACCAATAAGCTAGAATGGAAAGTACAGAGACAAACCCATATAGATGTAGTCATCTGATCTTGACAACAGTGCCAAGATATATATTCATATTGTTGAAAACTAAAATTGTATATAACTAAGTTGTATAATGTGGTGTTTTGATACATGCATATATTATGATTACCAAAATTAACATCCATCACCTTATATAGATGCTATTGTTTTGTTATGAGAACATTTAAAATCCATCTTAGCAATTTCAAGTATACAATACATTATTATTAACTACAGTTACCATATTGTACATTAAACTTCCAGATCTTATTCATCTTATAACAAAAAATTTGTACCCTTTGACCAAAAGCCTCCTGTTTCCTCCATCCCAGGCCCTGGCAGTCACTCCTGGCAGTTCTACTCTGTGTCTCTGTGGGTTCCACATCTTCAGGCTATGCATATTAGAGAGATCATGCAGTCTTTATCTTTCTGTATCTGGCTTATTACACTTAGCACGATATCCTCTAGGTTTATCCTTGTGGCTGTGAATGGCTGGATTTCCTTCTCTTTTTTTTAGGACTTAATTTCTTTCCATTTTACACACACACACACACACACACACACACACACACATCTGTGTATGTGTGCATGAGTGAATGCACATGCATATAACATTTTCTTTTCCTTTGACCCCTTGATGGATACTTAGGTTGTTTCTTGACTTTGGCTATTGTGAATACTGCTACAGGGAACGTGGAATGAAAATGTCTCTCTGCAATAATGATTTCAATTCCTTTGTAAATATACCCAGAAGTAGGGTTGCTGGTTTTTAGCTTTCGTTCTGTTAATGTGGTGAACTATATATATTTGATTGATTTTCATATGCTGACCTGTCTTGCATTCCAGGAATAGATCCTACCTCTTCATGGTGTATAATATTTTTAATGTGTTGCTGAATCTGGTCTGTAATTGCTTTATTTAGGATTTTCGCATTAATATTCATGAAAGACTTTGATCTGTAGTTTTTTTTTGGTTTTGTTTTTTTTGTAATGTTTTTGTCTGGTTTTGGTGATGGTGCAATGCTAAGTAGTGGTATAACTCTGTCATATGGTGGTTGTTCCATTTTTCTATTGAGGAGCCTCCATACTGATTTCCATAATGGTTGTACTAATTTCTAGTCCCACCAATACCATGTAAATGTCCCTTTTCCCCCATATGTTTGCCACCACTTATTATTATTTTTATTCTTGACTTGCCATTCTAACTGGAGTAAGATACTATGGAGCCATTTCTGTTTTTTCTGTTGAGAAATGTGTATTTAGTTCATTTGCCCATTTATCGATTGGGCTATTTATTGTTTTGGAGGCCAGCCTGGACAAGATCCAGTCTCAAAATAAACAACAAAAAGGGTAAAGTATCTACCTTAGTGGTAGAGTGTTTTCCCTAGCATGCACCAGGTTCTGGGTTCAGTCACCAGTACAAAATAAAACAAAATAAAAAGATAAAAAATTAACAAATGTTAGCAAGAATGGAGAGAAATTGGAACCCTCTTATATTGCTGGTAGGAATATAAAATGGTGCAATCATTTTGAAAAGAAAATTAAATATAAATTTACCATAGAACCCAACCATTTCATTTTGCCTGGGGTTAGAAATGAGTGAGAGTTGGCACCAGTACAGCACAAAGAAACTCTGAGGCAATGGAATGTTTCAAACCTGGACTGTGAGTTTCGCGTTACGTAAATTAGATTTCAATAAGGTCGGTAAAAACCAAAACACCAAAAGAAACTATATGTCATGTTAATCTTATTTAAAGGAAAGCCCCTTTGAACCCTCATATAAAAACTGTGGACTCTTTTTACCCCAGAATTCTAACAAATCTTTATTCCCAACAATTTTTGATTAAGAAAAAAAAAGAATAATATTGCTGCTATATTCAGGAACCCAGATAAGAAGAATGGCAATTACTAGACATGAAAGAATATGGAAGCCAGCACATGATATTGAAAAAGTACAGTAGTTTATTCTGTTTAGATTACACAAAAATACAATATTATCTTCTTCAACTTGTTCTTGGTGGCCTCCATAAATTTTAGTACAGTAAGTAGGTAACATGATAAATAAACTAAGCTCAAAAAATCTAACCTAAATTTTCAATTCAGATTGTAAATATATATTTATGTGACATCCTTCTCACTTCTAAATTATTTTTAAAGTAAACATATATACAGGAATACACATAGGCAGAGGCCTCATCTTAAGTTTGGATATCAAATTAATGTCATCACTTCTGCCTTCAATAGTTCCAACTGAAGCTCTCCACTTTGCTCTCTCTCAGGAGGGAAACATTTTCAATCCCATTAGTGCTGTCCAGGAGTATTTATAGTGATGCTATAAAAACTGAATCTGGACATGACTTCCTATAATTGAGTCTATATTCCAGGCTACACATGGCTGCCCTAAAATATTTTTAAATATACTGTTGTGTTACCCAACACATATTTGAGGTTTTCCCTTCTTAACTTTCAATTCCTAAAATGCTATAGGATAGATCAATACCTGTAACTTTCCGTAGTCCTCTGGTCTAACAACTGGTTGACTGTTTTATTTGAGACTAACTACTAGAAAAGTATTAAAAATGTAGCATCTACAATTGCCCCACATCTAGTCCTCCTAAGCTAGGAGCTAGACCACCTTTAAAATTGCAAAAGGCTATGTCCAATAGATTAATTTCTAAGATCTTTTGTTCTTTTTAAAGACTCTATTGCTTGATATGGATGTCACCATATTATATGATCAAGCCTTCAAATTTTTTAAAAAAGCAAACACATAATTTGATCAAAACTGTTTTACTTGTTTGAGACAGTATATCATAAGAAGTTCTAACTGGAAGAAGAAAACAAAATTCTTCTAAATTTCTTTCTTTCTAATATAGGGTTACTACAATCAGCTATGGCTCTATGTAGCATAGTGTTTTATTATTCTTTCCTTTCATTGAATGATGGACACATTCATCTTCTTGTTCCCTTTTTCTTTTAATGAGAAAATTGCACTATTTTTACTGCTGGAAAAGGGGAAAGTAGCCAACTTTCCAACACCTGCAGTTTGTTGAAAGAGTTCTATTATGCTCCATCAGATTCTGTTCTCATAAGCCATATTAAACCTACATGAGTGTTGATATTTAAATATCCAAATGGTCATGGCTTTTTGCCTAGAAAATTTACCAAACCCTTATTCCTAAAAGGCCTAGATCAACTGGCATTCTATTTTGGATGGTAGTTTTCCATGACTTTAATCAAAGGACTTAAGAATAATGTGTTGCCCTTCAGTGGGTCTCCTGCATTCCAAAAATACTCCTCCCTCCTGATATTAGATAGAAATAACCTAGTTTCCTCTTATGGTAATGATCGATCATCCCAGGTGAAGGGGTCGGTAGGAAGACTCCTTCTTTACCTGTTGAATTTACCAGTCCAATAAAAACAAGATGTGTTATGGTTTAGATGTGAAGTGTTCCCTAAAAGCTCATGCTTGAGACAATGCAAGAAGGTTTAGAAATGGAATGATTGGGTTATAAGAGTCTTAACCCTAATTGGTGAAGTAATACCCTGCTAGGGATTAACTGGGTAGTAACAGCAGGAAGGGTGTGGCTGGAGGAGGTGAACCAGGAGGAATGCCTTTGGGTTTATATTTTGTCCTTGTTGAGCAGAGCATTCTCTCTATCACTCCCTTCTCTCTCTCTCTCTCTCTCTCTCTCTCACTCTCTCTCTCTCTCTCTCTCTCTCTCTCTCTCTCTCTCTCTCTCTCTCTCTCTCTCACTCTCACTCTCTCCTTACTGATACCCTATTCCCAGTTGCTTTCCTCTGCCACACACTTCTGCCATGATGTTCTGCCTCATACCAGGTCTCAAGGAACAGAAAGGACCATCTATGAACGGAGACCTCTAAAACCACAAGACCCCAAATAAATTTTTACTCCTTAAAATTGTTCTTGTCAGGCTAGGCACTGTGGCACATGCCTGTGTTCAAGAAGGCAACTTGGGAGGCTGAAGCAGAAGAATTGCAAGTTCAAGGCCAGCCTCAGCAACTTAACAAGGTCATGTCTCAAAATAAAAAGGAATGTAGCTCAGTGGTTAAGTGCCCCTGGTTTAATCCCCAATACAAGAAAAAAAATGTTCTGGTCAGGTCTTTTGGTTACAGCAGTGAAAATACTGATTTAAACAGTGGTCAAGCATCAGGCTCAATTTTCAAGTGAAGGGAAGCATTGCTGTATTTTCTAGTGGAAGCATTTCTCCCTTGGGAATAAAAAAAATTCGCATATAGCAGAGCTCAAAGTTTTGGAAAAATAAATTATTAGTACATCTCACTCCCATTTCCATGCTTTGATTCCCTAAACAGTGTACACTGGCAATGAGAGGATGAAAGCCATGTATTACCAACTGATTGCAAACATATACTGCATCCTAAAGGAAATTATAGTCCAACAAGATATCATCACCCAGCTAGCATCGTAACAAGCTTCAAAAAACCACTCCACCATTGTACCAGTCTAGCTTTTTTAAGGAGAGAGAATGCAACATGAATAATGAATTACATGAGCATGAGCTCAGTACCTCACTTTGTTTGGTATAAAATGAGTTCCAAGCAATATTATATGGAATATGGGGGGTTGTTAAGTTCATGGGGGGTAGTTTTGACACAAATATTCCAGGAAGAAAAAGTAAATGTGTGTCCACTGTAAAAATCCATTCCAATAAAAACAAACACTACCTCTTCCATGATATATAATCCTAGGTAACCAACCTGCTGCCATGTAATTAATTGGTTAATACTCTCAGGAGAGGTGTCATATTGGAGGCTCAGAGTGGGTCCCTCCTTGTAACAAATTGGACCCTTAACAGTGTCTGAAGACAGATGAACTTTAGTGAATGAAATCTATGCTGGGAAGTCCATGTTTAATCCTTGTCCTTGTCACCATAGTTACTCTATTCATATGCTCTCCAGCAAAATCAGGGATGGCAAAGTTAAGAGGCCTTTATCTCCAACCATCTACCCTTCTAGGCAAAGCTGCTTGGAGTTCTCTAATTGGGATATTTTCCTTCTCTAGTGACATTTAGTGCCATCCCAAAGGGGAGCTATAGTGCTGTGGCCATCTACTTTGGTTGGTGTCAGCATAATGTGTAGAACTATCTTCCTCTGCTAACTGGTAATGGGAAAATTCCATGAGATCATCAACAGGCAGTATAGAAGGAGTTTGAACCATGGCTCTCTGAGTACTTCCATATACAACTTACAGTCTCTGGCCGATTTAAGCCCAGTTACAATATATATATATATATATAACTTCTGTTGGAGGACGGAGTGTTGCTGTGCATGTTTAACTTGTGACTATTCTTTTGAAAATCAGCTTGACCATGGACCATCCAGTTACTATGGAATGTGAGCTCCCATCATAAATGGGAGCACCCATCATAAACGAACCCTCACTTAGCTATCCATAGTTACACTGTTTTCAATAGGAGAAATATTACCTATAAGTGATAGTAGCTTTGCTTCAAAATCATAAAAGTCAGTGTGCTATAATTTAACTATGGGGTCCTGCCAAAGACTGTGTAGCAATCCTATCCACCACTGACACTTCAACCACCATCATATCCTCTGGATTTTCTCAAGTGGCAGAATAGCTTGCATAACAATCGGGCCTTGTGATAGGACTTTCTCTTACTTTTGGCATTTTTAAATACTGGGAGCTTTTCAAGTTATCTAGTAAATGGACCAGAATAACATACCTGAATGAAGTATACATTACCTCCCAAGTTAAACGGTGCTTACTAGGCATCGTACCACTTCCTTCATGGTAGAAAAGACAAAATACAGAAATTTGACCTTCACTCTGCCAAAAAAGAAAAAAGAAAAATCTGAAAATACCCTAGTTCTAGACCCTTTCAAATTTTACTGTGGTCATAGATAACTTAAATTTTGTGGTATTTTCCCCCCATACTCTGATATGTATGTGTTTCAATAAGGTGTCTGGAATTATTACTTATGCTATAGTTTGGATGCAGTTAGTCTCCTAAAAGTTCGTGTGTCAGAAGATTGGTCCCCAGTATGAAAATGTTAAGAGGTCAGTGGGACCTTCAAGAGGTGGAGCATGTGAGGACATGACGTCATTGAAGGTATGCCCTTGGAAGGAATTAATGTTGTTCTTCGGGGACACTGGTCTGTCTCTCTCTCCTCTCTCCTCTCTCCCCTCTCCTCACCTCACTTCACTTCTCTTCTCTTCTCTTCCCTTTCCTTTCCTTCCCTTTCCCTTCCCCCTCCTTCCCCTCTCCTCCCCACCTCCCTCCCCACTTTCTTGTCTTGCAATGTCATGATTCTTTCCTGCACATGCACCCACCATGATCTGGTTTGCCAAGAGGCCATTACCAGAATCCTCCAGAACTGTCAGCTAAAATAAAAACCTCTCTTCTTTATTAATTATATAACCTCAAGTTTTTCGGGATATAACAGAAAATAGGTTGATACAACTGATATTTTTATCCAATACTGATATTTTTATCCAATCATCATGCTATCATTAATATGATGATTCTAAGTAAAATGTGAGATGGAGAGGTAACCCTGAAGACCCAGTTATGACATAAGGATGAAGATAGTGAAGGTATATTGTTATTCTGTCAAGAGAGAGCAGTTTGTGACAGCTTTAATTATAGGTCTAGAGAAATCTTTTGCTGTTAACAACTGCTTATCGGGTACCAGAGTGTGGATTGCTTTGTTTCAGCAATAAATTATGTTTGGAACAGCATCTTTAATTGAAATCACCCCCTGTCTAAGTTTGGCGTAATCACTGTCATTCTTCAAGATCTCTCTGTCCATTTTCCGCACAGGCTGAAAAAGTGAATTGAATGAGAATACGGAAGGAATTACCACACCTGCATTGTTCAAGTCTTTTATGATGGTATTAACCTTTGTAGTCCTCCAGAAATATGGAATTGTTAGTGGTTTACTATTTTGATAGAAAGAGGCAGCTCAGGTAACCAGAACAGAGCTTCCCCTACCTAGTCAAGGAAAGGTCAAGGAATCTATGCGAGAATTCTACCATTTTCTGAATATGTCCATGCTGCTTATACATTCTAAACTGAGGACTGACCATAAGAGGAATCCACTATTCAATGAACACAAGTCAAAACCCGAACTCTGATTGGGATCTTCCCATAGGATCTTCACAAATTAGCTGCAGTCCAGAGTCAGTGTCAAACAGTCCCTGAAAAATGTGATATTACTCTTCCCCCATACATAATCATCATGATAAACAGTCACAGGCCTCTCTCAGGAGGGCTATAAGGAATATTTACATTATATCTTTTTGCTGTGTAGCAAGATTCCTTTTCAATGGGACCCAGCCTTCCCCCAACCCCATTCATGTAAGAGACCTTAGGTCTATGAACTTGTTTTAAATTTAGGAATTTGTTGCAGGATCACTCTTCTCTTCTATCACTAAGGTATAGAGACTCCCCCAAATCCTCTCTAGGGCAGATTGTCTTCTCACTGTACAATCTTACCATAGTAAATTTATTCCCACATTGGATGACTTCAATTACCAGCTGTAATCAAATGCCTTATATTTCTATCTCCAGACAGACCACTCCTCTGATCTGAAGACTGTGCCAAAATACACTCCAGATTCAATCCCAAAACAAACAAAATCCCTTCCCAATACTCTACCTCATAGCAAAAGGTTTCACCACCTATCCATCCAAGAGAACCACAATCCTAGGAATCACTTTTAATTCTATCATTCAATCCTTCACTGAGATGCTTAGATTTTATATCCTAATATTTCCCAAGTCTACTACTTATCTCTATTTCCACAACCACCAACATTGTCGAAATCTCTCCTGTACTATTTGCAATAAATTCATGTTTTACTCCTCAAATCCACATTTTCATTTTCTCTAATTTTTATCCACACTGAAGGCAGGATTTGTAAGATTTTAGGACCCTCGAAGGCAATATATTCCTTCGTAACTCAGATACCTAGCACAGCATCCTGCCCAACTTTTCAACAGGTATTTACTGCTTCTGCTGATGTCTATAGTTGACGATTATTGTGAAGAAACTTTAAATGGAAACAATAGTGCTTTGTCCAAGGAACCGTGGAGAAACAATCAATAATAGTTTGATTATAGACAGACAGCAGCATCCATTCTAAGCTTCTTCCTGCTTATGTGAATGCTCATGTGGTTTTTTTCCTGATGATTGAAGGCCTCATCATCTTCCACATATCCTGCAATGTCAAGGAGCCCCACAGACAAGCCTTTGTCTGAGCCTGAGATTCATAGAGGATTAGTTGGCTTGAATATCAGAAGAGAGTTAAATGCCGTAGAAGATCTGAGCCTTTATTCTGACTGAGAAACTGCTCTTATTAACTTAAAGATACTTGATTGAATTTTTTTGCAACATGATCCTTCTTACCAATATTGACTTATATCCTTTGCCAGAAATATTCTTTTGTTCAGTTAAATCAATATCTAGCAAAATTTTGTCATACAACTTCATTTATCTAGAGAGAAGCCTATTCAATAAAGCTCTTATCTATATGTTTGGAAAAGAGAGAGGTGGAAATACAGCATTATTGCCAATAAAACACTAAGAATTTTGCTCTACTTGTTTTTTAAATTTTTTATTATATATTTTATTGTGTACAACATGACTTTTTTAAGGGGAACACCTTTATTTTCAGTACTATTTACAAAATTTCATTGATAACAACTTTTTCATAGTTCAAAGAATAAGACATCCAAATTAAAATTTACATTTCACCTCAAATATTCCAAAATTCTTCTGGCACTATGGTGCACACCTATAATCCCAACAACTCAGGAGATTTAGGCAAGAAGATCACAAGTTCAAAACCAGCCTCAGCAACTTAGCAAGGCCTTAAGTAACTTAGTGAGACCTTGTTTCAAAAAATAAAAAGGATTGATGTGACTCAGTGGTAAAGCCCTTGGTTCAGTTCCCAGTATAATACATTATTTTATATATATATATATACATACACACACACACACACACACATATACATATATACATTCCAAAATTCCATCCACATGGACTTTGGAATTTTAATCTTGCCTAATACTATGGTATTTCTCTTAAAGATAAACTCTGATCAGTACCAAATTCTTCATTTTTGCTATCTAACCACGTTTTTTAAATCTTGTTTTCTGATTCTATACATCCCAGACTATTTTGTGGATTTGTTTAAAAAAAAAAATCTAAGATGAAGAGTGATAGTTCTTATTCATTATTTGCAAAATCTTGGCTTGTATTCATCTTATTAAACTAAAAAATGCTTAAAATGCCTAAAAATTCAGCTACTAAAATTCCTTTAAAGATCTCATTTGCCAGTGATTCCATAATGTGGGCCAATCTGAGGAAGCCCAACCAAGCATATTAATATACTCATCACCTTTTATAGTTAACTTATTGTTTCTCTCTCTCTCTCTCTCTCTCTCTCTCTCTCTCTCTCTCTCTCTCTCTGTGTGTGTGTGTGTGTGTGTGTGTGTGTGTGTGTGAGAGAGAGAGAGAGAGAGATAAGCACTGAAAATTTGCTCTATAGCAAATGTTTATTCTACAATATCATCATCATCATCATCATTTTGCAGTATTCATGTTGTCCATTAGATCTTTAGGCTGATTCATCTTGCATTGCTGCAAGTCTGTACTCTTTAATCCACCTCTCCCCATTTCATCCTGCTCCCAGCCACTGCTAACCACCAAGCTACATGCTACTTCTACATATCTGATTGTTTTAGATTCCACATATACATAAGATTGTTCAATATTTTTCTATATGTGTCTGTTATTTCACTTAGCATAACATTCTCTTTTTTAAATTTAATGAATATTCATAGATGATAGATAGATAGGGATATAGATGCCATAATTCCTTTACCATTCCTTCATGCATGAACACCTAGGTCATTCCACATTTTGTTTTTGTGAATAATGGCTGCAATTAATATAGCAGTACCAATATCTCTACAAGGTACTGATTTCATTTCCTTTGGAAATATAATCATGGAGGGATTAATAGTTGTATGGGAGCTCTATTATAAATTTTTCAGAAACCTCTATACTGTTGTTTTTCATAATGCTGTACTAATTTCCATTCCCACCAACAATATATAAGGTTTCCTTTTCTCCACATCCTCACCCACACCTGTTATCTCTTATCTTTTGATGATGACCATCCTAGGAGGTGTGGGGTGATATCTCATCATGGATTTGATTTGTAATTCTCTGATAATTTGTGATATTGGGCACTTTTTCATATCCTAGTGCCCATTTTTATTTCTTGTTTGGAGCTTTTTTGCCCATTGAATTGAGTGAATTTCTTATATATTTTGGATACTAATCCCTTACCAGATATATGATTGTAATTATTTTTTCCCAATATATTTGCTGACTCCTCTCTCTCTCTCTCTCTCTCTCTCTCTCTCTCTCTCTGTACTGGGGATTGAACCTAGGGACATTCAACCATTAAGCCACATCCCCAGCCCTATTTTGTATTTTATTTAGATACAGGGTGTCACTGAGTTGCTTAGTGCCTTGCTTTTGCTGAGGCTGGCTTTGAACATGCAATCCTCCTGCTTGAGCCTCCGGAGCTGCTGGGTTTACAGGAGTAATCCATGCTGAATTGCATGGTTGATTATAATCTTCCTTTGCTGTAAATGCTTTTGAGTGTGGTATATTTCCACTTTTTTTCTTTTCTTTTTTCTTTTTTTTTTTTTTTTTGCCTGAGCTTTTAGTGTGACAATCATGCAGTCAATGCCAAAGTAAATATCCCTATATTTCCCCCAAATTTCCCCTGTATTGCTTCTATAAATC